CCCACGAGCCGAGGAGCATATAAATTTACTCCATGAACATGCTCCAATCTCTGCTCGAGTAGTCACGTATAAAAATGACCTCGTCCCTCGACGTGATAGGGGACCCTGGCGAAACTATGCTCACCATACAGGGAAGTTAGTCTTAAGTCATAACTCCTTTCCTCATGAGCAACGACTTGGGGGAAGGGGGGCTTTTGTTCTATACTGGGCCTACACTTGGCCCAAACATCATATGAGGCCCAATCCAACTATATTGCAGGAGAAAAACAGCAAGAGAGAGTATGCCCTTGATAATGTTGGGTAGTGATTCCTCTCTTCTCATTGACCAGGATATGTCCTCGGGGGACAACCTCATGATTGGCGAGGAGGACCAATGACACTCAGGAGGTCCTCGCGAGCACCATTCACTCCTCTCATCGGCTAGGATATGTCCTCCGAGGACAACCTCATGACTGGAGAGGAGGACCAACGATACTCATGAGGTCCTCGCGAGCACCCTCCTCGTAGGGCAGGCACCCAACGCCCCCGAATATCACGGAGTCCTCTTGACCCCGAAAGGACCGTGTCCACATCCTCTTGATAATTCAGAGGAGTCCATTCAGGTTGGAGACCACGTGCTGGCCTCCACTACACACGTAGGACCTGACAGTCTCCATTTTGGGCCTGCTTGGTCAGCCCAACAATGGGGACCTTGGTCCAGCACTGGTGGATATAAATACCCTCTCATTTGAGAGGTTCAGGTATTCATTCATTCACTCATACTCTCACACTTACTTGCACTTACTTTGAACCTTACTTTGGCATCAGAATGTCTTACAAGTACCCCCACTTCACATTCAACCACTACTCGACTTGAAGCTCGTGGTCCCTGACAATCCCTTCTGATCAAGTAGATCAAAGGTTGAGGATCCTTCCACTCTATCCTTCATTATACCCATATTATTGAACCAAATTCTAACCCATACCTTATGATTACAGAAAATTTTTGATCGATCCTTGGCTTTTCCTCTCCTAAGTCCTAAGTCTCTTTCTTTCTTCTTATACTCTTATCTCTTTTCTATTTTTTCCTAAAATACGAAGTATAAACTATATTTCCTCATAATACTATAAAAACCTAGTTCCCTCATTTAACTACCCCCGTCTTAACCTTAACATTTTTCCATAATGCCTACCTTATTCTCACTTACTCGTCATAAGTCTGATATTGACCGTAATTCCTCTACACGCCTAATTTATCTTTTATTTATTTATTTTATTTAACTAATAAAACTAGAGCATTATTTTAATTAATAAAATCTATCAACTTCTAATTACTCTCTACATTCTCCCCCCATGGTCACACACCCCTCATCACACTTATTTAAATAAATTAATCAAAATACTCTTTATTCTAATTTTTAAATAATGTTTATCAACTCCAACAAGACACAACTTATTATATACACCTTTATCTATAGGACAAACACTCTTATCCTCTTCTTCATCTAATTATTCACACATAATAATTACATAAAATACATATAAATTACAAAGAATTCACAAATAACTCAATTAAAATAATTTAATAAAAATTAGGGTGTTACAATATACCCCCGGGTATATTCTAAAGCACTCTGTCTAACTAAAACTAATATATCTACTCGGGTCTATGATATACCCCCAGATATATTCTTAAAGTAGTCTGAATTAACCATAATACCCTTTCTAATTAAAATTTTCCATGCTTCTCAATTCCATTAACTTTAAAGTTGGGTGGTTGCTTCACATAAACTCTTTCTCTAAAGGTCTATTGATGAATGCGGACTTCACATCAAGTTAGTGCATCTTCTAACTTTTGTTAGCTGATATGGCTAAAATCAACCTGACTGTTTCAAACCTAGCCACATTTGCATATACTTCATTGAAATATACTCCAGGTCTTTGGAGAAACCCTTTTGCAACCAATCTTTCTTTGTACTTGGAAACCTCACCATCTAGTTTCAGCTTTAGCTTGTAAACCCATCTTACATCAATTGCTTTCTTGCCTGAGTTCTCAACTAGCTCTTATGTATGGTTCTTCTCAATGTCCTTGAGTTCCTCAACCATTGCAGTTTTTCATTTTTCATCCTACGGGACTTGCACCTGATTGATTGGTTCTGACTCAACCATCAGTCATTTTTCAATCAGCTCACCATTTTCCCTGATTGCTAGATCGGGAAATCTCTCATAGTCATTTAGCATGACTGATGGAGCTCTAGTTCTGCCATATCTCCTCGTTCCTTTAGTTTGTGTAGGCTCAAGTGGTGCAAGTTATTGCTGATACAACTACTTTGGCACTTCAATCTTTGGAAGTCCATACACCATCTTTTCCATATGTATCATGCTAAGACTCCTAAAATTGAGATGACAAAATCTTTAATGCTAAACCTAATTGTTATCTTCATTTGTGGTTGATGCAAGACATTAATGATCAAGCATATTGATCATGACCATGAATGTTATGTTGGTTGACAAAGGTGCCCTCAGAATTTGCCTAGACATTTCATCAAACACCGAGTTACCTTCTTTCTGATGTTACCATGATGTTGTCTGAAAATGAATTGATCTTCTAACTAATTAATCCAACTTGACAAACTAGGTCTTGTTTCATGTCATATGATTGTTGCAACTTGTATCAAGGTACCACACATTTACTTTCTCTTAAGCCAAATGTGTTGCACCCATTAAGATAACATATTTAGATCCACTGCTACCATCATGAGAAAATTGAGCCACACTCTTGTCCTCATCGTTATTCTCATTGTAGTAATAGTCTCTAGCATAATGAACAGGCTTTTTACAACAATAGCATTGAGCCTCCTTCATGTAAACCTTCTTCTTGATTTTTTTTATTTTGATTTACACCATTTTTGCTAGTTTCACCTTGGCTTCTTAAAGCCTTGCCAGCATCACCATTATCATTCAACTTCTTCTTGCATTTTGCTTTCACTTTGTTATTGCTTGAGAAATTTTATTTAATATTCTTGAAGAACATTGCTTGCAATGTGGTTTAGAATCTCTTTGCTTCAGCTTCATATCATGCGCCTCAAGAGATGCTTGCAATTCTTCTAGCTTCATCTCTTACAAGTCTTTAAATTCTTCAATTCCACTACAATGTGATCGAACTTGAATATAAGAGCACTCAACACCTTATCCACCTTCTGCAATTCAGATATATTTTCTCCACATGACTTCATCTGATTTTTCAAAGTTGTCATCTTTGAGAAGAACTCAAGAATGGTTTCATCTGCATGTTTTCATATTGCTTCCTCAAATATTGCAACTTCACTTTCTATAACTTTTCATCTCTATCATATAGCTTCTTGAGAGTATCTCAAGCCTATTTGATCATTTCTTGCTCGATAATATTCTCAAAGATATTCGAATCCACTCACTAATCGATCAAGAACAAATATTTTCCATCTTTCTTGCTCATCTCACGATGAGCAACTTTTTGTGTCTCTGTAGCATTTACCTCTAATGCAAGAAATCTCCATTCAAAATTTCAAGCACATATTGAAATCTGAATATGAATTTCATTTATGCAAACCATCTATCATAGTTTCCTCCCTTAAAAACTAGTAGAGCGGCTAGAAATTGGTTTGAGGTAGTGCTTCTATTCGTCATGACTAAAGATTGAGGGTTGAATCGGTGCTTTTGATACCAATTTGTTGGGGAATCTGTATCACATGTTACTTGACAAATAATGAGAAATTGAGAGTAATTAAGGTAAAATAGATTATTGATTATTGTGTATATTGTGTGTATATCAATTACAATGAAGGGTGTTGTTTATAGACACACTAACCACCTAAATCAAAATTAAAACAAATTGTCTAAAACAAAATGGATATATGCGCCCAAGTATATGATATACCCTTAAATATATTGTCAAAGTGTATTATATAACTAAAACTGATAAAATCACTCAAGTCAATGATATACCACTTAGGTATATTTTTAAAGCAATCTGAATTAAGTAAGGGTTAGTCTGATAGTGGAGGCTTAGATCATATCAGGATCTTGAGTTCAAACTCTACTAGATGCTAACAATCTTTGTGTTGAGATAGTCTATATAGTGTTTGTCTGACTTTAAACGGACTTTCATTAGTAGACAGTAAAATTAATTCTTTTAAATTAATCAATTGCAAGATTGAAAATCAAGATTTAAAAAGACAAAAAAACAATGATAAACATGCTATTAGTTTTTTCTGGAAATAATTTTATGTTATATAATCAAAGAAGTTATTATGAATTAGTCTTGAAATTTAAATGTTTTTAATAGTTTTATAGTATTATAACACTATAAATTTAGATGTTTATAATAGTGTTATAGTTTTTTTTTTTTAATGTAATACAATAATTCTTAAAATTACAAATAAAAAATCTATTTTTTATTAAAAAAACAAAGAGCTCATAAATTGTCTACTTTATTTGAGGATTGCGCTGTGGAGGTTGGATACAACAACATACAACCTCCCTACTTCATAAATTTCTAGATAGCCAAAAACAAGATTATTTGGCTGAACGAAATCATTTTAAACAATAATATTAATTTAAGTAATATCAAAAAAGGTTTGTTTTAACCTTTTGTTTAAAATGATTTTCAGTGCTTTACAAGCATTCAAATTAGGCTTTTTTACACATGCTTCACAGCATAGTTGTTAGGTTAACTCAAATTTCTGATTTGATTTGTATTTTATTAGAGTATAATAATTTGTATGAAGCACAATAAAAATATATTAGTATAAAAAAAAATCCAGACTTGAATGTGTTGAAAACAGAAAACCCAATTCATTAGGGACGGTGTCGAGTACAAAGAACACAAGCTGTGTTTCTCCTAAACAATTTACAACAACAACCTCCTAAACACTCTAATTTTCATCTCTAATCTCTCTAACAACAAACAATAACAATAATAATAAACCATAAACTTACACATAACTAAAAAAAACCAATCAAACCAAACAGAGCCTAATCCCTTACTTCTTCGCCTTCTTCACCGGAGTTTTAACACTCTTCACCTTCTTCGCCGGACTCTTAACACTCTTCACCTTCTTCACAACCTTCTTAGCAACCGCCTTCTTCACCGGAGTAGCCTTCACACTCTTCGCCTTCGGCTTCACTACAGCTTTCGCTTTAGGTTTTACAGCAGCTTTCGCTTTCGGTTTCACGGCAGCTTTCGCTTTCGGTTTCACAGTGGCTTTAGCAGCAGTTTTGGCCGGAGCGGTTTTGGCCACAGACGGTGCGATTTTGAAGGAGTTTTTCACCTTGAAGAGATTTCCAGAAGCGACGGATTTCTTGAGTTGGAGGAGGACAAGCTTGCGGTAGGTTGGTGGTAGGTCTTTGTGCTTCTCTTCGATGAATTTTGTTATCGCGTATTGGCTTGAACCGGTTCTTTCTTTCAGGCTCGTGATGGCTTCAGTTATCATCTTCAAATTCAATAACAAAGAGAAACAATTAGAAAACAAAATCTACAAAAAAAATAATCAAGAATATTGAGAATTTGAACCGGATTTGGATTTCTACCTCAGCGAAAGTGGGATGAGAGAGTGGCTTCTTTGCAGCGGCGGCGGTTTTCTTGGGCTTGGTTTGAGCGGTGGTCGACATGGCGGAGACTGGAGGAGAGAGAGAGAGAGAGATATTAACCGTTGATGAGAGAGAAAAGAGATGATGAAAAGATTGAAGAGAGAGTGATGATGTAATTAAAATGGGTGGGAAGATATTTATATAGTGAAATGTGAGAGGGAAATGGAGAGCGTTGATTGGTGGAATGGGAAAGGCGCGGATTGAGAATTTGTGTTGGATTTTAAATGTGGGTCGTCGGATGATTGTTTATCGATGGTGGAGATTGTAAGTCAGCGGAGTTGCTTGGATCGGGGAATGGGATAGATAGTGTTAACTTCTTTTGGTTACCTTTTGGAGATTGTGAATTACAACTACTTTGCTTCTTTGATTATTAAATTATTAAATGTAAATGCTAGTAATAGGTATTTGGTATGCAAAATTATTAATGGTTAAAAAATTATAATTATTGAAATGTGTATTACCTCAAATTATTTATGTTATTTCATATACATCGAAATAGGTTTATGCTCGATGATTTATATTAGTTGGGATTTATTAATCAATGAGAATTGTCATATAATAAGAATAATCAGATTTTTTGATATGTGATTTTTAAGTTATTTTATAAAAAAATTAGAATTTTTCATCTACATGATGGTCACACACACTCTAGCAATATACTTAATCATCAATGGAAGAGATCTTAAGAATATATTTTTGATTTCTGAAGTTGATATAGTTCTTGATGACCTAGATATAAATGAAGTTGCTGCCAGAAAATCTAAGTTGATAACTTTCCAGCATTCAATCTTGATAAAAATGTTGTTGTCCTTCAGGAGAAGTGTTCTACTGCACCTTCTGCATCCCTGGTAAAAAGCAAGAGGAAAGTTTCCACTAAGAGTACTGGTGGTAGCCCATCTGGGGCTGCTAAGAAGCCTAAGTCTTCAATGTCTTCGAAGAGACCTCTGGAAGAAACTTCAAAATCAACTGGTGTTGGTTTTGTATGTGTCAAGGTTCCCAAAACTTCTTCTTCTTCAAGGCCTTTGGAACTAGTGAATGTAGTAACTCTTATAGCTTTTGTTCCTATAGATTATGGAACTACTTCAAGTAAGCTGATTTTTGATAATTTTTTACTTAAATATGCGTTTATGAGTTCACTCATTCCATCTCTCACTCAAACATCTACACCACATATACCACCACTTGTTTTCCCACTTGGAACAATGATAGCTCCCAACTAGAAAAATTCAACTTCAACAAAAGTTTATACTTATGCTCCTCAACCATCCCTCTCTAACCCAAACTTTTCTAAAGACATTTCCTCAAAAACCCTTTTAAATGTCATTCATCTTAACCCTACTGTACAAGACCCATATGAACATGTGACTACATTAGAAAATTCTGATATTGACACATAATTTCTTAGCTCTATGTTAGCTAAAAATAACCCAACCAACCCTGTTTTTCTTTACCCCCTCTATGATCTTGTAGACAAAAATTAGAAAATCATTCCCTTTCCAAACAGAACCCCCAATCTTAACTCCACTCCCTCTGACCAAACCTTCCTAAAATCCAACATCTAACCACCCTCTATGGATGAACTAATAATGTAATTTGATACAAAAGTAATTGCTTATTTGCACTCTATGAGGCATCATTGAACCTTTGGTGTCAACCCTGCTGAGAGTGATCTGATATGGACAAACTTCCGAAGATGGATGATCTCTCGCTCTCTGGAGTTGAATAACTTGTCTTATCAAGATGCTGCAAAGAGATTTATTTATTGACTCTCGGAAGTTATTACACCCATTATAGGAAGAGTTAGACCTTTGTTCCTCCCCTCTCCATAATCTCTTCTCTGTCTTTCTGCACCAGAAGTGAGTCAACCTGGTGAAGTTGCTTCTGCATCGCTTCATCCTTCTGAAAAAGTCCCTACTTTTGAGCAACTAGCTTTGTCTCTTGTAACGCTCCGATATTTAATTATTTATTTAATTAAATATTTTTGAATATTTTATATTAATTCAGATTTTTATCGTTGAAGTCAGAATTATTTTATTTAGTGGCATGATAAATAATCGGATTTAATTTGGTGGAATTAAGTTGAGGTATTATTTTTATTATTAAGCTTAAATATGATATTGGGCTTAGTTTGTGGTGTTGTAAAGTAATAAGGGGGTATGTCACTTAGGCCCATTTAGATTTATTAAGTAATATAATAATATTATTGTATTAGAGATAGAAATAGAGGAGAAAGAGAGGATAGTGTATCAGGAAAAAGAATGGAAAAGAAGAGAAAGAGGAATAGGGTTTTGAGAGAAGAAGAAGAACAAGAGGAGGTTGCTACTAGTGCTAAATTCCCCAAAAATTCGATCAAAGTTTCTTAGAGCTGCACTCAACCCAAGGTAATGGTAGGGTTTCTTATCCTATAATGAGGCTTATGAGAAATTGTAAGGGTTTGGTGTAGATTGTTTGATTTAATCCATTGAAATTGACTATAATCGATGAATTGATGCTTTGAATTGTATGGTAATTGATGTATGTTGATAGCAATGATAAATGGATGTTTGATTGTGTATTATTTCATGAAGTTTGTGTCTTTAGAATTGAAACATAATGGATTTTCGTACTGCACTTTACATAATTCGTAAAACTGTTTTTCACAGGGTGCAATCAATTACAGCAGAAGAGCAATCAATTTTCACTGCTTAAAAATTGGGATTTTTGCTTCTATTTCAGTAAGTAATCGATTTGCAGTACAGAGCAATCGATTTGCACTGCTTAAAAACGTGATTTTTGGCCTCTAGAACAGGGTGCAATCGATTTGCAGGTTAGTGCAATCGATTGCTCACTATTTGACAACATTTTTGGAAACTTGAAAACTCTATAACTTTTGACTCGGGTGTCCGTTTGACGCACCATTTGGACTGTTGAAAAGCTAAAAATATTTTCTACAATGTGGTAATAATTTTGATGATAGTAGACTAATATTTTATTAGAAGGATTCTGATGTGTGCGTATGTTGTATGTGTTGAATACTTGCTGGAAAAAAACATGAATTGCAGGTGGTATTAAAATGTTAGGCTTCTGGCAAATGTTGTTTTCCTTGTTGATGTTGTTTGCCATGAAAAGTTTTTTATTCCTTTGACACGTTGTGTTGTAGGCCTTGGGCTAATATTGAATGGTGTGATTTGTTGTTATGTCAACCGTTGTTAAGTTGTTGTTGATGTTGCATTGTTAAGTTGTGGTTGTTTATATCGTCGTATAGCATATCATAGCATAGCATTAAATTTGGCCTCGATTGGCATGTTTTAAGTTGGAGTGAATGCTCACCCATGTTGGCCTGGATTAGCATTTTTATGTTGGAGCTAAATGCTCACCGCGTTGGCCTTTATTGGCAAGATTTTATGTTAAAGGCTTATGCCTTATGCCTCGGAATTACTGGCAATTTCTAAGTTGGGAGTTCTGCTCCAATGGTACCACATGAATTTGCACAATTGAGTCGTATTTGGATTCGTTGGTTTGTTGCTTATTTGGAGTGTTGTCCGTGCATGGTGATGTTATAAGTTGAATTGATGTGTTGGTGAATTGTGTTGCTTTATGTTATTGTTGTATGAAGTGGTGATTTTATATGAACTAATTTCCAATATATTATTTATCATACATGCTATTATAGTGTTTGATATATCACCCCTTTTGTTTGAATGTTTCCCTTTATTGGTGACGTGCAGGTAACCAAGAGGAATAGCCAATAGCATTGTTAGTTCGAGTTTGGTGTCATTTGCTCTGATACATAGCACTCGGGGGGAAATGAACACTTGTCTTATTTTGTTGTTTATTTATTGAACCTTATGTTGTTATTTGAGGAGTTATTGTATTGATGTTGTTTTATGATTTGAAAGATGCTATATCTTATTTGGAGGACTATTAGGAATCTGCTGCGTAATTAATCAAAGTTTGGTTTATGTTACCAAGACTATATTTATGAGTTGTGTTCATTCTGCTTCTTTAACTGTTATGTATCTATTCTAAAATGCATGACAGGTTTATGTGTTTTGTTGAATATGTGACATCCTGATTATATTGGAAATTTTTATACTTTGATTTTCCGATTAATTACTTGGGGTAGAATTGGGGTGTTACATTAGTGGTATCAGAGCAGGTCAGTCTGTCCGGCCAAGTTGTCTAATGTTGTTTGTTCCTTAGTGTGCGACTAGTGTGTGAAACACTGTTGATGCTTGTTATTTTTCTAATCGAGTTGAATGCAGGAGTTAGTTTGAAGATAAGCGGGGGAGAAACTTTGTTTCTATGATACATTTTGGTTGTAAGATGTTAGTTCGGTATGTTGTTGATGGCGACAGTGCAAGTATTGTTGAAGTTTTGTTGTTTCCCGAATATGAAGGTGTCATAGATTAAAGACTTTGTTTGTTAATCAATGTTGTACCCCAAAATTTGCCCTCCTATTTTCCATAGAAAACACAACCCTAGGGTTTATTCAAATATTCAAGATTGGCTCAGGAATCGATCAGACAAATTTTCTCATGTGGCAGTAAATCAAGAATTAGGGTTTTCCTCGCATTTCTCAGAAGAAACTGAATTCTAAGAAAGTCAATTGGTTGTCACATATTTTCATGCTCTCTCAAATTTACTGGAAATATGCAGTGTTTGTTTGACCCAGGTTAACCAGTTAATTTGCGTATTTTAAAACATCTGCTTGTTTATGGAATAAACATTTGCCTATTTATTGGAATACACAGTGCGTGTTTTGATTGGAATATTGTTGCAAGGTTACGAGATTACAGAGTTATTGGATTACTTGGAGTTTAAGTTGTCTTGATTGGAATTATTGGAATGCAGTTCAATTATTTTAATCAGGAATCTTAAAGAATCAAAGAAGACATAAAGAGAGAATTACCAGTTACTAACAGTAATGGATTACATTGGATATCAGATTATCTCATAAAGACTTTTTTCATTTATTTCAGATGTTGTTACAAAACAATTTATTATTCATATGCTTTAAGTTTTACAACTTATCGTACTTG